TGAAGCTGTGCAGGTTCTGGGTCGGTTTCTGAATTCTGAGTTCTAACTTGATTGCACTATGGTCTGAGAGGCTGTTTGTTATGATTTCAGTTGTTTTGCATTTGTTGAGCAGTGCTTTACTTCCAATTATGTGGTCAATTTTAGAGTAGGTGTGATGTGGTGCTGAGAAGAATGTGTATTCTGTGGATTTGGGGTGGAGAGTTCTGTAAATGTCCACCAGGTTTGCTTGCTCCAGGTCTGAGTTCAAGCCCTGGGTATCCTTGTTGATTTTCTGTCTGGTTGATCTGTCTAATATTGACAGTGGAGTGTTAAAGTCTCCCACTATTATTGTGTGGGAGTCTAAGTCCTTTTGTAAGTCATTAAGAACTTGCCTTATGTATCTGGGTGCTCCTGTGTTGGGTCCATATATGTTTAGGATCGTTAGCTCTTCTTGTTGTATCGATCCTTTTACCATTATGTAATGGCCTTCTTTGTCTCTTTTGATCTTTGTTGCTTTAAAGTCTATTTTATCAGAGATGAGAATTGCAACTCCTGCTTTTTTTTGCTTTCCATTAGCTTGGTAAATCTTCCTCCATCCCTTTATTTTGAGCCTTTGTGTATCCTTGCATGTGAGATGGGTTTCCTGGATACAGCACACTGATGGGTTTTGGATTTTTATCCAATTTGCCAGTCTGTGTCTTTTGATTGGTGCATTTAGTCCATTTACATTTAGGGTTAATATTGTTATGTGTGAAGTTGATACTGCCATTTTGATACTAAGTGGCTGTTTTGCCTGTTAGTTGTTGTAGATTCTTCATTATGTTGAAGCTCTTTAGCATTCAGTGTGATTTTGGAATGGCTGGTACTGATTGATCCTTTCTATGTGTAGTGCCTCTTTTAGGAGCTCTTGTAAAGCAGGCCTGGTGGTGACAAAATCTCTGAGTACTTGCTTGTTCGCAAAGGATTTTATTCTTCCTTCACTTCTGAAGCTCAGTTTGGCTGGATATGAAATTCTGGGTTGAAAGTTCTTTTCTTTAAGAATGTTGAATATTGGCCCCCACTCTCTTCTGGCTTGTAGTGTTTCTGCCGAGATCTGCTGTGAGTCTGATGGGCTTCCCTTTGTGGGTGACCCGACCTTTCTCTCTGGCTGCCCTTAGTATTCTCTCCTTTATTTCAACCCTGTTGAATCTGACGATTATGTGCCTTGGGGTTGCTCTTCTTGCGGAATATCTTTGTGGTGTTCTCTGTATTTCCTGCAATTGAGTGTTGGCTTGTCTTGCTAGGTGGGGGAAATTTTCCTGGATGATGTCCTGAAGAGTATTTTCCAGCTGGGATTCATTCTCTTCGTCCCCTTCTGGTACACCTATCAAACGTAGGTTAGGTCTTTTCACATAGTCCCACATTTCTTGGAGACTTTGTTCATTCCTTTTTGCGCTTTTTTCTCTGATCTTGGTTTCTCGTTTTATTTCATTGAGTTGGTCTTCGACTTCAGATATTCTTTCTTCTGCTTGGTCAATTCGGCTATTGAAACTTGTGTTTGCTACGCGAAGTTCTCGTATTGTGTTTTTCAGCTCCTTTAATTCATTCATATTCCTCTCTAAGGTATCCATTCTTGTTATCATTTCCTCGAATCTTTTTTCAAATCTTTTTTCAACGTTCTTAGTTTCTTTGCATTGATTTAATACATGATCTTTTAGCTCACAAAAGTTTCTCATTATCCATCTTCTGAAGTCTAATTCCGTCATTTCATCACAGTCATTCTCTGTCCAGCTTTGCTCCCTTGCTGGTGAGGAGTTTTGGTCCTTTCTAGGAGGCGAGGTGTCCTGGTTTTGGGTGTTTTCCTCCTTTTTGCGCTGGTTTCTTCCCATCTTTGTGGATTTGTCCGCTGGTTGTCTGCGTAGTTGTTGACTTTTCGTTTGGGTCTCGTTTGCGGATTCAACGAGAAGAGCTCCAATCCTGGGTTATTCTCACAGTGCCATCTTGAGTCGCTCTTTTTCTTGGTAATAAAAATCAGAGCCTGACATGGGATTAGGTTTCAGCAATCCTGTTGCACAGGACACTGACCATTCTTCATCCTTTGCTATGGACTCTTCCTCCCCAACACAGCAAAATCATATTCCTCAAATGCAAATGTGACCAGAAGAACCCTGAATTTAAGCTCCCTACTGCCACAGGAAGTGAAACCCATGCCTTGAAAACGGTTTCCTCAGTGCCTCACAGCAGATCCTGAAGGGAGTGGTTGTCTCCTTGGGTCCCTCCTCATCGGGAGGTCCTCTAAACTTAAGTGGAGCCAGATTCCTAACCCAGCCCCAACTCCAGGGAGTCCTAATCTGCTCACTCAATAGCCCCCAGCACAAGTCAGGACATCCAGACCTAACAGAAATCCAAGACACTTTGAAGTCATTTAATGTATAATGCACATTAGCATGTGCATTATAAAGGTTCTAAGTAAAGGTTAGAGGTTCTAAGAAGTCCTGCAATAAGGTAATACATTTAACTTTGTTTAACTGGGTGCTTTTCATGCTTAACTAACCTTGGGCCACTATCTCATTGAGCAGCATTTCAGACCGCTGGGAAATGATGAACTGGAGATATTCATAGCCAGGTCTGTCCACACCCCCCACACTCATTTATCCGCCCCCCAGTCCGCACCCCAGAGAATAGAGAGTCTCAACTTTAGCACCAGAGAACCTAGCATGAGGCCTAGAAGAGTTGTTGTGAAATAAACAAGTGAGCAAATAAATAAAATCATACCACTGTAGTCCAGACTGAATCTAGGAATTATAACTGTGCTTCAGCACTCTCCAGGGCAATTAAGTCTGTGGCCAATGCATGATTTAGTAAGACCAATATCTTTTTCATCATTTATACCAATTACAAACTGGAAGGCCTTGAACCAGATCTGTCTAACATACATATATGATTCATTTCACCAGCACAGGCTTCTGTTTGTTTGTCTGTCTGTCTGTCCATCTGATGCTTTTAGGTAAGGCTGGAGCTCTGCAGCTGGGCTGGTGAAAACTACCTAGTTTTCAGGACTTAGTGCAAAATGAAAATGTGAGACCCATTCCCTGGTTGAAAGAGTATTAAGAACTTTAGGACAGTTACAGAAGAGCATTAAACCAAGCCGTGGGCCCTTCTGGACACAGGAAGCACACTCTCGAAGCTAATTCTGCTGCCAGGCAGTCTAACTACTGCAAAACTAAACTTAATTTAATAAGATAATGAAGTCAGGATCATTATTATTTCTATTTTATAAATGAGGAAACTGAGAGTGCTACCTAATGTAATACAACTAGTAAGTGGTAGACAGAGATTTAAACTCATGTACTAACTCCAAAGTCCATTATCCTAACCTAACATCCACCTTCTCCATTTTCTGTCCTGCAACAAACCAAAATTTCAATGCTTTCCATGCTTCACTGATCATTGTGTGAACCTCAAGAACATTCCTATCTGCCTAGAGGTTAAGGAACTTACCCAAAGTCACAGAGCTGGGATACGATGTGAGATAATGTGTCTCCAAAGTTCACCTCTTAACCTCTACACCAGAGTTCAGATCCTGACTTACCACTTACTTCACCCTCACCCTCTTACTTATATCTTTTCACTAAAGTAAAAATTGAGGCTCACCCAGAAATAGATCCATGTCTTAGTCCATTTTCTGTTGCTTATAACAGAATACCTGAAACTCAGTAATTTGCAAGGAAAATGAATTTATCTCTTACAGTTATGGAGGCTGAGAAGTCCAAAGTTGAGAGGCCGTAACTGGTGAGGGCTTTCTCACAGGTGGGGACTCTCTACAGAGTCCTGAGGCAATGCAGGGCATCACAGGGCAAGGAAGCTGAGCATCCTAGCTCAGGTGCCTCTTCCTCTTCTTAAAAAGCCACCAGTCCCTCTCTTGTGATAACCCATCAGTCAGCCCACTAATCCATGATTGACTTAATTCATTCACCTCTCAAAGGCCACATCTCTCAACAATGTCACACTGGAGATAAAATTTCAACATGAGTTGAAAGATTTGAACCATAGAAAACCACAAAAATATAGTCAACTAATCTTTTTTTTATTGCATTTTAGGTTTTGGGGTACATGTGAAGAACATGCATGATAGTCGCATTATACACATGGCTGTGTGATTTGCTGCCTTCCTCCCCTTCACCCATATCTGGCATTTCTCCCTGCTATCTCTCACCAACCAACCCCCCACGCTGTCCCTCTCCTATTCCCCCCAGTAGACCCCAGTGTGTAGTGCTCCCCTCCCTGTGTCCATGTGTTCTCATTGTTCATCACCCGCCTATGAGTGAGAACATGTGGTATTTGATTTTCTGTTCTTGTGTCAGTTTGCTGAGAATGATGTTCTCCAGGTTCATCCATGTCCCTACAAAGGACACGAACTCATCGTTTTTGATGGTTGCATAATATTCCATGGTGTATATGTGCCACATTTTCCCAGTCCAGTCTATCATCAATGGGCATTTGGGTTGGTTCCAGGTCTTTGCTATTGTAAACAGCACCACAGCAAACATACATGTGGATGTGTCCTTATAATAGAATGATTTACAGTCCTTTGGGTATATACCCAGTAATGAGATTGCTGGGTCATATGGAATTCCTATTTCTAGGTCCTTGAGGAATCGCCACACTGTCTTCCACAATGGTTGAACTACTTTACACTCCCACCAGCAGTGTAAAAGTGTTTCTATTTCTCCACATCCTCTCCAGCATCAGTTGTCTCCAGATTTTTTAATGATCACCATTCTAACTGGCGTGAGATGGTATCTCAATGTGGTTTTGATTTGCATTGCTCTAATGACCAGTGATGATGAGCATTTTTTCATATGTTTGTTGGCCTCATGTATGTCTTCTTTTGTAAAGTGTCTGTTCATATCCTTTGCCCATTTTTGAATGGGCTTGTTTTTTTCTTGTAAATCTGTTTGAGTTCTTTGTAAATTCTGGATATCAGCCCTTTGTCAGATGGGTAAACTGCAAAAATTTTTTCCCATTCTGTTGGGAAAAATAAATACAACACACCCAAATACAGGATGATAGTTCATGTAACAAACAGAGATATCATTTGTCAGAGGGCTTATGCCCATATAGAGGGGGATATGACAGTCTGCGCAGCATATGTACACGAACTGCCAAAATATGGTGTGAAGGTTGGCCTGACAGATTACGCTGCAGCGTATTGTACTGGCCTGCTGCTGGCCCGCAGGCTTCTCAATAGGTTTGGCATGGACAAGATCTATGAAGGCCAAGTGGACATGACTGGTGATAAATACAATGTGGAAAGCATTGATGGTCAGCCAGGTGCCTTTACCTGCTATTTGGATGCAGGCCTTGCCAGACCTACCACTGGCAATAAAGTTTTTGGTGCCCTGAAGGAAGCTGTGGATGGAGGCTTGTCTATCCCTCATAGTACCCAGCAATTCCCTGGTTATGATTCTGAGAGCAAGGAATTTAATGCAGAAGTACACCCAAAGCACATCATGGGCCAGAATGTTGCAGATTACATGCGCTACTTAATAGAAGAAGATGAAGATGCTTACAAGAAACAGTTCTCTCAATACATAAAGAACAGCATAACTCCAGAAATGATGGAGGAGATATATAAGAAAGCTCATGCTACCATACGAGAGAATCCAGTCTATGAAAAGAAGCCCAAGAAAGAAGTTAAGAAGAAGAGGTGGAACTGTCCCAAAATGTCCCTTGCTCAGAATAAAAATTGGATAGCTCAAAAGAAGGCAAGCTTACTCAGAGCTCAGGATTGGGCTAATGAGAGCCAAACCAAACAATTTTCTATAAGGATTTTTCAGATAAAGACAATAAACTTATGGACAGCAATTTAAAAAATAATAATAAGGTAAAATTTAAAACCTCTACTCTGAGAAAAAGACTTTCAAAAGAATGAGAAGACAATACACCAACCGGGTGAAATATTTGCAAAAAACATATCTGGTAAAGGACTACTATCCAAAATATACTAAGATCTCTTAAAACTCAACAATAAGAAAAAGAGTAATTCAGTTGACACCTAAACAGATACCACACCAGAGAAGATATACAGATGATAAACAAACATGTAAAAAATGCTCCACATTGAAGATGTGGAGAAATAGGAATACTTTTACACTGTTGGTGGGAGTGTAAATTAGTTCAACCATTATGGAAGACAGTGTGGCGATTCCTCAAGGACTTAGAAATAGAAATTCCATTTGACCCAGCAATCCCATTACTGGGTATATATCCAGAGGATTATAAATCATTCTATTATAAGGACACATGCACATGAATGTTCATTGCAACACTGTTTACAATAGCAAAGACTTGGAACCAACCCAAATGCCTATCAATGATAGACTGGACAGGGAAAATGTGACACATATACACCATGGAATACTATGCTCCCATAAAAAACAATGAGTTTGTGTCCTTTGTAGGGACATGGATGAACCTGAAAACCATCATTCTCAGCAAACTGACACAAGAACAGAAAATCAAACACCGCATGTTCTCACTCATAGGTGGATGTTGAACAATGAGAACACATGGACACAGGGAGGGAGCTTCACAGACTGGGGTCTGTGTGGGGGAACTAGGGGAGGAACAGCAGGGAGTAGAGAGGTTGGGGAGGGATAATATGGGGAGAAATGCCAGATACAGGTGATGGGGAGGAAGGCAGCAAGCCACGTTGCCATGTATGTTCCTATGCAACAATCTTGCATATTCTTTACATGTACCTCAAAACCTAAAATGCAATAAAAATATATATATTTATAATAAATTTAAAAAATGCTCCACGTCATATGTCATTAGGGAAATTCAAATTCAAACAACAATGAGATATCATTACACAGCTATTAGAATGACCAGATCAGAACACTGACAACACCAAATGCTGATGAGAATATGGAGCAAGAGGAATTCTCATTCATTGCTGGTGAGAATGCAAAATGATAAAGTCACTTTGGAAGACAGTTTGATAATTTCTCACAAAATTAAACAAACTCTTACCATATGATCCAGCAATCATGTTCTTTGGTATTTATGCAAATAAGTTGAAAATTTATGTCCACACGAAAACCTGCACAGACATTTTAGCAGCTTTATTCATAGTCACCAAAACTTGGAAGTAACCTAGTTGTCCTTCGGCATGTAAATGAATGAGTAAACTGTGGTACATCTAGACTATACAATATTATTCAGTGCTAAAAATAAATGCTATCAAGCATTGAAAAGATATGCAAGAACGTTAAATGCACATTACTAAATGAAAGAAGCCAATGTGAAAAATCAATTACACTGCATGATTCCAACTAAATGACATTTTAGAAAAGGCGAAAATATGGAGACAGTAAAAAGATCTGTAGTTGCTAAGGGTTAGAGCGAGAGAAGGATGAACAGGTGAAGCACAGAGGATGTTTTGGGCAGTAAAACTATTCTATATGATACTGTATGATGGTGGGTACATGTCATTATACATTTGTTGAAACCTGTAGAATGTACAACATGAAGTGAACCGTAATGTAAACTATGGACTTGGGTGATAATGATATGTCAATACAGATGCTCCTCAACTTATAATGGAGCTACACCCTGATAACCCAATGGTAAACTGAGAATATCATATATCAAAAATGTATTTAATACACCTAACCTACAGAACATCATAGCTTAGCGTAGCCTATTTTAAATGTGCTAACACATACATTAGCCTACAGTTGGCAAGATCATCTAACACAAAGCCTGCTTTATAATGAAATATTGAATATCTCATGTAATTAATTGAATGCTGTACTGAAAGTATAAAAAGAGAATGGTTATATAGGTAATTGAAGTATGATTTCTACTGAACATGGATTATTCACACTATAATAAAGAAAAATTTTAAGTTGAGCCAGGCACAATGGCTCATGCCTGTAATCCCAGCACTTTGGGAGGCTGAGGCGGGCTGATCACCTGAGGTCGGGAGTTCGAGAGCAGTCTGACCAACATGGAGAAACCCCATCTCTACTAATAATACAAAATTAGGATGTAGTGGCGCATGCCTGTGATCCCAGCTATTTAGAAGACCGAGGCAGGAGAATCGTTTGAACCTGGGAGGCGGAGGTTGCAGTGAGCCAAGATTGCGCCATTGTACTCCAGCCTGGGCAACCAGAGCAAAACTCCCTCTCAAAAACAAAAATTTTAAGTTGAGCCATTGTAAGTTGGGACCGCTGTATAAGTGTACAAATTGTAACAAATGTGTGACTCTAGCAGTGGGTATTGATGGTGTGAGAGGCTATATGTGTCTAGGAGCAGGGAATAAATGAGAACTCTCTTTAGTTTCTGATCAATTTTGTTGTGAACCTAAAATATCTTTAAAAAATAAAATCTATTTGAAAGTAAAAAGTACAAAAAAGAAAATACCTTTCTAAAGTTTATGATGACTTGTTATTTATAGATGAGGACAATGTGGGTTAGTAAAGCTAAATAACTTTCCCAAATTCACCCATTTGGTAACTGGGAGTACTGGGATTCAAATACAATTAGTCTGGCTTAAGACACTGAAATAATAAAATTTCTAAGAAAGGCATACGAAACAAAACAAATTAAGGCTCAGAAACCTGTGTAGTTTTTGAAAAAGCTACACAGCTTGTAAGATGCATAGTCACTAACAGAATCTAGTGAGTCTGGCTCCTGGACCTGTACCTCCAACCCCTTCCCAATGACACTACATGTGCACCTAGAGACAGTCACACATGCAGACACAGAATCCCAGAGATATCAGAGCCCATTACCTCTCCTTCTAGGCAAGTGAACATAATCATACACAGATATGCACAAAAGTACACATATGCACATCAAATACATACATATGCATCAACATATGTGCACAGGACACACAGCCCTTACTGCTACATGGCTCTAATTCCCTTCCCAGGTGTGAGAAGCTACATCTCTGCAGCCCAGTTTTCCCACAGAGCTCAGTGAGAGCATCAATTATATTCCCCCTCCCAACTCCCACCCCCGCAATCCCCTGGGAAGACCACAGGGCCAATCCTCCCAGGGCTCTGGCATGCAGAGGACAGGCACCTGTGTCTCCCTTTCTATTACAATTCACACCATAGGTGGAGAAGAACATCACAGTTCTAAGGCTAGAGCAGTACTTCAAGAAGCTTCCTTCAGAGATTCAGAGCCTGATCTTAATCCCCAGCAAACCCCCAAGTCTTTTCAGACCCCCAAATCTCCTTTGTCAAGCCCACAGGTAGGCACACTGAGGGGTCTTGATAATGGGAACTGTGGGATTGATATCTTCATGTGATTTTCTTCCCCTTTTCTTAACCTGCTTTTCTCTCCTCCATCTCAAATGCCAGGAAACAAGGTCTTTCTCTATATTTTTCCGTCTCTCTCTTTTTGGTCAAATGTCAAATGTTTGAAATACCTACTTTGTTCAAGACACTTTCTCCTTCCCTTAAAGGGCACAGCCAACATGTTGCAACTCAAGACCCACAAGTTATCACCTCCAGGAAACCAGGCCAACAGAGAGACTTAGGGCAATGAGACTCAGAGTCTACATGAACGTGAGTTAGGACAATGCAGAGGCTGAGAGCACACTCTGGAGCTGTACTCTACCACCCTCTGGCTGTGTGCTTAGGCAAGTCACTTCAGTTCTGTACCTCATTTGTGTTATCTGTAAAATGGAGTTGGTGTAAAGACTAAATGACTTAGTATATATCAAGCTTCTTGATCAGTACCTAGCAATAACAGAAAGGCAAACTTCCACTCATGATGTGGAAGAATTTCCTAACCCAGATGTGTTCCACACAAGGACTGGGCCACCTCCAGATATTGTAAGCTCCTTGTCTCTAGAATTGTGGAAATAGAACAATCACTTTCCCAGGATGCTAACATGATGAAGGTGAAAGGCAGAGGATCTAAAGCCTCATGGCATCTGAGCAAAACTCTCTGAGAATCCACAGCCCCTTCCCTAGCATCTGTGCAGGATACCTAATCTTCTTTAGGATTAGGTACAGGATACTTAATCTGTAATAACCTATTAGCAGTTGTACTTTTGAATACTGGCTGATCACAGGTAGGGGAGGCACCAGGAAGAACTGACAGCTTGAGAGTTTAACTCATTGAATTATTGAAAGAGAGAAGCAGAGGCAGGCATGCAGAAAATCAGTGATTCCTGGGAGAAGAAAGACAGATACAAAAGTGGAGCAGAAGCTTGCTGAGGACAACTTGAGCTGGATGAATTGGGTTCAATTATCAATCTCAGGGACCTACAGTGCCCAGAAGAACTTCGAACCTAAACTAAGTAGGAAATAAGAAATTAGGCAGGCCAGGCACAGTGGCTCATACCTGTAATCCCAGCACTTTGAGAGGCCAAGGTGGGAAGGTCACCTGAGGTTGGGAGTTCAAGACCAACCCGACCAACATGGAGAAACCCCATCTTTACTAAATAATATATAAAATTAGCCAGGCGTGGTGGTGCATCCCTGTAATCCCAGATACTCAAGAGGCTGAGGCAGGAGAATCACTTGAATGCAGGAGGCGGAGGTTGCAGTAAGCCAAGATGCATTTTTCCAGTTTAGTCACTTCCCAACTGTCCTTACTCTTTCAGGGGAGTAGGTTGTGGATAGTGAGTAGCTTTCCACCACATACTGCCCACAGCATCCCAGTTTGGGAAGTGCATTCTGCGCTGACAATGTGTATGTACTCCCTGGTTTCATTTGGGCCATTGGCCAAGAGAACAACCTTGCATAAGTGATGAGTAAACAAGAAAAGGAAAAAACAACCTGAGATGACAAATGTTCATAATGTGAAAATTCTAAAAGTGAAAATTTAGAAGTATAGAAGTAAT